GGCCAGCGCATGCTCAGTGGCGGCTCCATCTTGGTGGAATGAGCTCCCAGAAGAAATCAGGGCCCTGCGGAACGTCTTACAATTCCTCAGGGCCTGTAAAACGGAGTTCTTCCGCCAGGCTTTTGCATAGGAGCCGCCACCGCTACTGTACCACCACCGAGCTGCCATCTTTGACGGTGGATTCTATCAGGATGTGAGCTGGCCCTGGAAAGATGACCAGACGACCTGAAGAACTGGTTATGAAAGTACGACAGTACCATCCGGAACTTATGTTGATGGGTTATGCTGGTTTGTGGAACCCCATCTTGGATTGATAAGAGATTATTATTTAGAGCACCGGCACTTTGTTTGTGATTGACTGTTTTATTCCATTTTTAGTAGTTGTATCATTGCATATGCCTCTTTGTTAGCCACCCTGAGCCTGTTCGGGGAGGGCGGGATATAAATTAAATAAATAATAATTTAAAAAATAACATGAACCAAGGTAATTTTGGGCCTAAAAATTTACTCTAAAAACAATCTATATTTCAATTAAATATCATTTGCCATATCCCCCCCCCAAGTGCACCTTGTAACAATGGAATAAGCGGAGAGCTGACCTAATATGCAAATGCAACATTCAAATACCATTTGCACAAAATGTGGCAACTCTGTCTCCACATATGACCGTATCCCGACGTCATGGGTGGCAAGCGCAGCTGAGTTCCCAAATCAAATCATTCAGATACCACTTGCACAAAATGTGGCAACTCTATCTGAGGTTTCAGATTCATGGCCTGCAAGAAGAAAGGAAGTAGTAGGCCATTCGTCTGATCTTCCCAGGGTTTTTTTGAGGACGGTTGTAATAAATATACATAAATACGTGACGTGCCCCGGCAAGTACTTGGAAGGGAGACCTCCAAAGGAATATCCGGTCCAGGACGCAGAGGCAGACATATCTAGCCACCCTTCTGAAAACGTCCAAGGCCCAGTAGGGGTTGCCAGAAGTCACCATGACTTCCAGGCATGTAGGCGTGCGTACACGTACACGTACACACACACACCAATGCTCCCTCTAAGCTGTGGAGTCTTGTGAGCAAACATTCTACTTGGTGAGCTACTGGCATTAAAGCTGTGAGCGGGCGATTTGGCTGCCACATAAATTAGTTTGCTCTGGAGATACCCCTCCTGAGCTAAGACCAAAAATCGTGTGAGCCTGAGGCTAAAAACCTGAGCTAGCTCACACTAACTCAGCTTAGAGGGAACACTCACACACACACACACACACACACACACAAATACTAAAAAAGATACGGGCAATGCAACCCAAACTGAATTCAAAGCACTGGTATATTTTCGAAACTAGATCCCTCGCAAGGTCATGTCCAATTGCATGGACAGGAAACACTTTCTTGGAAGTGGGGGGGGGGAAAGGTACTCACTGCAGAACCACGATAGTTTAAGGAATTAAAACAGTGCCTGCGCCGACACCTATGTAAAACCGGCAAAGTAAAGCTGGGTAGGATTGGGGCACAGGGCAATTTACACTTGCAAATACGAACAAACATTTCAGCAAAAGGCTTGCGAGACTAATTTGACCGCACGGTAGTCATTAGCAGAAGGAGCACCGGCCGCAACGCCGAGCACAGTGGCTCCTGTGCAAATGGTTAGAATTGCAAAATTACAGCACGCAATGTGACACAACAGGCAACCTCTGCTTTGGAAGGATTGCATACAAATTTAATTAGCTTTCATCTCCAGAGATTACAGTCCCCCTCCAGGTCATCACTGAGGTTACCGGTGGCGCAATAGGCAACTGCAGCTGCCTCCCCCACCGGACTCGGGACGGGCCCGCTTAGCTCTGCTTTCCAGCGCCACCGGAATAATTCATTCCGATGATAAAAGGAGGGTCACTGTGAGAAACAGTATTGGGTGCAACGCTGCACCGTGACAGATAACTTTGCCTTTCATGTGGCTAATATCTTAAAAACCGGCCGGCATTCAAAGAGCACTGCCTTTCAACGGACTTTCGATCTTCCCTTGGCCTCAGTCAGTAGGAAAATAATAACCGGCTCTCGCTAGGAGGAGACGGACACTCGGCACCCGGAGGACGGGGAGAATTGCCCACAAAGCATCGCCCTTCTGCCATCTCCACGTAGGGTGGTGTTCCCACGTCATGGGCGGCAAGATCGATTGAGTTTCCCTAATCAAATAATGACACGAGTTGTAAAAGATTGCGCCTCTTAACAACGGGCCGCGACGGCCGCGGGTTCCTTACGTCGCTCAGCTGCTTCGAGCGGCCTGGTGTGTTCGTGCTGGAGGGCTGCCGGTTCCCTGCCTTGAGAGCTGCGTCTCTTCTGGCTTGTTCCAGCAGGACTCTCGCCCGTTCTTTGAGTTCTTCCTGTCTTGATAACATTCGTTGCTTAAAGAACCAACAAACAAAAATACCAGCGTTAATGACAAACGAGCCCAAGAGGATCGTCGGTACGATAATAGAGTAACCCGCACTATCAGATGCTACACACTACTAAAGTATCGGGAGGATATCTTGGAGATTAGGGGTTGGGGCCTGGGGAGGGCGGGGTTTGGGGAAGGGACCCCAGCATGGTATAATGCCATATGGCCCCCCCTCCAAAGAGGCCATTTTCTCCCGGGGAACTGATCTCTGTAGTCTGGAGATCAGTTGCAATTCCGGGAGAACTCCAGGAGGGTGGCAACCCTAAACAATGGGGCTGGTTGGCCCTTAAAGCAATCCTGCCCAGCAGACATGCAGGACTGTTGCAGCGGTCCTCGGGAAGGGCAGGCTTTGCAGACAAAATGATACCCCTACCCAGACCAATTTCTATACCGAAAATACAGTTTCCAGCAACAGGAACACCATACCTCCTGTGCTCTACAATGCTGAATGTGACCATGCCGCAGAGGAAGCAATGCATCAATTTTTGCGCATTTCCTCCATCGAAGGGTATGCGGGGGCCATGGATCATGCCAGTCTAGCTCTTATTAAGATTTATATCTGCTTGCAGCCCTTTAGCAAAACTGGGGCAAAATAAGAAAAAACCTTTACATTTCCCACCATATATTTATAAGGCGCTTGCACCTTCAAAGCGCTGCTCCAGTGGTCGTTAATTGAGTTTTAAAGTCTCACTATTATGATCATCTTCCTGGGACGAGGAGGAAGAAGAAGAAGAAGAAGAAGAAGAAGAGATTGGATTTATACCCCGCCCTTCACTTGGAGTCTCAGAGCGGCTTACAAACGCCTTTCCCTTCCCCTCCCCACAACAGACACCCTGTGAGGTGGGTGGGGCTGAGAGAACTCTGACACAAACTGCTCTTTCAGGTACAGCTGTGCCAGAGCTTGTGACTGACCCAAGGTCACATCAGCAGGTGCAAGTGGAGGAGTGGGGAATCAAACCCGGTTCTCCCAGATTAGAGTCCACGCACTTAACCACTACACCAAACTGGCTCTACAAACAGTAGGGTTTCCAGTAGGGTAAATGAAGTGATGCTATGAAGAACCCCCGCAGAGCTCCCACAAAACCCCGCGTGAGAATTCGCCAGTGTCTGGCGGGCATGTGATCAGGTTAGGGGCTCAGTCCACTTCCCACATACATCTAGAAATATGCTCTGTGTGCCTGAGACGGCCAATGGTCATTATTCTAGAAGGACTGGTGAATGGGTGTCTTTAACAAACGTAGCATTATTTTGGAGAGATTAAAGAACTGCCCCAGCACAATGGTAAAGAGCATGAGCAATGAGCTGTATGCCCCCGGCTTAGGCTTCTGAGCAATCATACGCTTATTCGGTTGTCTTATGCAAACATCATATTTCAGCCTTAGCTGGCCATTTGCAGTATGGGCGTAGTGATAGTGGCCTGTTTTACTAAGTGGCTGTGAGGATTACTAAGAATGCTTGTCAGGAGTTTTGATAATTCAGGAGAAAGCATGACGACTGGACACGAAATGTTTCATATGCAATAGTGCTTGGATTTCGAAAAGGGGTGCGCGGGCATGTGCACGAATATGCCTTACGGTGCGTGAGTAAAAACACTCGGTTCTTTGGAATAAGCAGATTAGACAAAATAATTTGCTACTGCGGAAGAGACAGTCAAATGCGAAGAGAAAGGATCAGTGCTGTGATCACTCTGACAAAAAGGTGTTAGGAACGGCTTCTGATGCGTTATGTTCTTGAAATGTCTGATATATGCTACAAATCCCATCTCGGTCGAGCCATTCAATAAAAGATATGCACCACCATTTACAGTACAGTAAAAGGATTCAGATACGATGACAAACTGTGGTTTCTTGTTACAGAAATAAGCCTTGGAAATCCTCACTGCTCTCCCGCTCTTTTCCGGTCAGGAATTGAAAACATTCCGGTATGCAACAAACCACAGTTTGGCATTTCATACAAAATGAATAAAGTGGTGAACCACAGCTTGTTCTCTTGCATACAGACAATGGATTTGATCCAGTGGAAAATGTCTGGGGACTGGGTAGGCTTGCCGGCTCCCACCCCAGTGGGTGATCCCCTACCCCTGCTTGTTTCCTCCTGCTGCTCAGAGTGGCGGGAGAATAATTTAAAAAATGGTAGTTTGGCCAGCAACATGACATTACTTCTGGGGGGAAAAACAGGAAGTGACATCAGTCCTCTTTAGGAATCTTTGGAAGCAATTCCTAGAAAGGCATGGCATCACTTCTGGGTTTCCACGACAGTGATGTCACACTGTTGCTGACAGCCGCCCTACAGTGTCCCCGCCCCCAGTCTCCTGCTGGTTGCCTGGCAATCTGAGGATGGGGCAGGGAGTGATTTTTTGCTGATTCTACATTCGGTGGAGATTTGGGGCTGCACTGGAGAGGCAAGGGAGTCACACTGATGTGCTCTCATTCTGTTTTGGTGTGCGTGTGGGGGTCTCCTGTCACCAAGAAGCTACATTCGGTGGAGATTTGGGGCTGGACTGGAGAGGCAAGGGAGTCACACTGATGTGGCAATTTCCTACCGGATCCACCCCTGTCCTTGCTTTAGATTTGAATACAGGATACAAAGATGCGAAGGCATGGTGTAACGCCACATGCAGAGACATGAAGGCCTGGGGGGAAAATGGATGATTTTTTTTTCTTTTTAAAGTCTCAGGACTCCAAAGCTTTTCCTGTGGAAAAATCGGGAAATTTTGGGGAACACTGAATGACACGCCTCCCAAGAAATATTTTTTCATTCTGAATGAGTGAAATGCTTTTTAAGGCAAGGTTTTTCTCTCCCAAAATGTATAGTATTAATAAGTCTGGGTTATGGAAAAACTGGGAAACACACAACACTGGATGAGACTGCTACCCCCCCTTTAGAATAAATGAAATGAAATACACGGTTTTACTTAAAATGTGTAGTATGAACATTTTTATGTAAGACAATCCACAGCATTAGACAATGATAATCCCCCCATGTATCTTGCAGACATAAGGTTGCCAACCTCCAGGTGGGGCCTGGAGATCCCCCGCTATTAAAATTGTTCTCCAGACGACAGAGATCAGTTCCCCTGGAGAGAATGGGGGGGTTTTGGGGGGGGGGCTCCTATGGCATTGTAACCTGAAGTCCCTCCCCTCCCTAAACTCCGCCCTTCCCAGGCTCCACCCTCCAAATCAGCAGGTATCTCCCTACCCAGTTCTGGCAGCCCTATGCAGACATATAACAACGGTTTCATTTTTTAATTTAACTGTAAATAACTTTCCCAAAAATTAATATGCTGTCACATCTTTAATAACAGTAGATTATTAAAGAGTTGTTTTCAATGTTATAAGGTTTAGCTCGAATATCCAAAATGCAGGTAGTCCTGCTTATTGTTTCTGTCCAAATAATACACTTTCTTTTGCGTGCTATGGTATTTTCTTTTTGACCTTGACCTTTTTTTTTTTTTGCATCTCAGAAGGCAGAAATTAAAAATACACGTCCCTACGGTAGCAGAGAGAGCAGCATCCCGCCGTTCCCACAAGCGGGCCTCGGGGCAGGACAACAATAAATTACAATAATTAAAACAGCTAAAGAAATAAATACCAGAACAATAAAACAGTTAAAAGGTAGGAATTTGCAAAAGATTACATGTTTAGTGGTCTTAATAGCTGAGAGCGATTGGGCCACAGATCTTATTAGTGACAGTTTTCCCTCTAAGCTGAGTTAGTGTGAGCTAGCTCACAGTTTTGTAGCCTCCGCCTCACACACTTTTGCCTTAGCTCAGGAAGGAGGGCTCCAGAGCAAACTAATTTATAAAGTAGCCAAATCACTGGCTCACAGTTTTAATGCCAGTCGCTCACAAAGCAGAATTTTTGCTCACAAGACTCCACAGCTTAGAGGGAGCACTGGTGGCAGTATAACATTACCAGATTGCAGCAGGGAGGCCAACCGGTGGACGCCCACTGCCTCAGCAGAAGGCCTGGCGGAAAAGCTCCATTTTGTAGGCCCTGCAAAACTGTAGTAAGTCCCGCAGGGCCCTGCTCTCGATCTGGAGCGTGTTCCGCCAGGGCGAGGCTACAGCGGAGAAAGCCCTGGCCCTGGTAGGGGCTAAGCGGACAAAATTATGTATTATGAATGTTCTGCTGTTAAATCAGTAAAAGATTTCCATTTCCACTATTTCCCACCCACTCAAAAAACAACAAACCCACAGTTTTTTCTTTCCGTGGCTTCAAAATTTCTATACAATGTCATCTCTAAGCACACATTAGGCTGCAAGGGAAGTTATACTGCAATATTCTGAAAAGCTACTTTCTTACCTGTGCAGTTTTCGAGGCCTGATCAATCTGATTTATAGTTGTTTTGGTATCAATCTCTGACTCAGTCTCCATCTTCCTCTGAGAGATCTGGGTCTTTTTATCAACTTCTGCATCTTTACTATAGGAGTATCCAGGCTTATCTCCTGTGTCTAAACTCGCTTTTTCAAAATGTGGTTTTGAATTAGATTTTACGTCCTCTTTAAGGCTGGGGTGTCCCTGTTTTCCTAGTGCAGAATTAACAGTACTCTCTGAATGCTGGCGCCCTTGCCGCTCAGTGTCCTCACGCAAAGTCAACGGAGACATGTCTCTCTTTGGACTGCTGTCTTGGGCCAAATCGCTTAGATCTAAAGTGTCTGCCTTGAGCAACTTCTTCCTTCCCAACTGAGGCTGCGCTTGTACCGTGCTACTTTTCCCAGCTTCCTCAAATCCGGAAGTCCTTCCCAAACTCTGTTGGGTTTTGTGTGGATCTACATCACCCATAGTCCTGTGAGAGGAAGGGGGCGCCACACTTGGGGTAAGGTACACTTCTGGGGCCTGGCGATCGCCTTCTGACTCCCCACCTCGATCGTCGTTTATAAATACCGATTCTTCCAGAAGAACAAGGTCCACCAAGCTCTCTTCAGGTGGTTGTACTTCTGGCTCCCGCTTCAAGTCATTGAGTTCCGCGTAGAACTTCTCCTGGTCAACGGAGCTGTTAGGGTCCGTCTCGTAGTTGCCCACTTTGTACGTGCTTTTGCTGCTGTTCTCCTCAATCTGAACCACGTTGAGCTCTTGACCGCTGAAATGGGCCCGTATTTGATACAGATAGGTCATGACAGTCAGCTTGTCAGGGATCGCTAACAAAACCATGTCGGAAGGTTCGAGCAGTCGGGATATTCCTAAACTGGCAAATCCATCATAGGCCTTAAAAAAGAAACAAAGAGCAGAGACAGTGTTTTTGTGGTGAAGGTACTGCTATTCTACACAAAATAAAGTAGCAAGCCAGCAGAGATACTGTCATACGCAGAAATACATCATGTAACATTTGCTGGGAGCGCAAAACTCAGCTTTGTTATAAATCAATGGAAAATTTTCAGTCTGCCCCGAATCCAGAAAAAACGGATAGCCACCACTGTTGGCCACTATGAAAAGTGTCAATCAAGCTGTTTGTTAGGGCACCATCCTAAAAACAAAACGAAAAGGGGAATATTTATTACAAATTAAGTATATTTATTCTTTTTTAAAAAATTATATGTGCGTGTATGTGTGTGTGCATGTGAGTGTGTGTGCACCTGGAAGTCATGGCGACCTCTGGTTGACCGTGTGTGCACCTGAACAAATTTAGAGTCCCGTGACTGACCCCACTGGGGGGCTGGAGGATATTCAGAGAGGTGGCTGAATAAAGCTTGCCCCCGCCTCCGATATTTCAAGGAGGTCCCCCATTCAAGAACTTGCCAGAGTCGACCCTGCTTAGCTTCCGAGATCTGATGAGATTGGGCTTGCCTGGGCTATCCAGGTCATGGTAATTAAGTACATTTACAAAACAGCCGGGGAAAATGGACTACATCGTTTAATTAGTTTGTGTTCTCATCATCCACCCAGTTATACTTCTTTTAATGGATTCAGAAAGTGCTTTTGGAGGGTCAAATGAGGTCCCTACTTGTGTCCTTTACAGTAGTAAAGCCAGTCTCCAACACTGCACCAGAAACGACTGTTTCTTTGCCACATTTTTACTATACCTGTCAAAAAAACGCTCATTGGCTATCAAAGTGGCTTACGGAAGTGGAGCCGTGACTCACGAACGCTCATACCCTACCAAAATTTTTGTTAGTCTTTAAGGTGCTACTAGATTCTTGCTCTTTTCTACAGCAATTAAAAACAAACACAAATATTAACACAAAAGGTGTGGTATAGCGACTAGAGGGCCGGAGTAGAATTCGGGACACTCGGCTAAGTCCCCAGTATACCGTCCGATTGCATTGCTTTTATATTCTGTAATAATCTGCCTTCAGCCTCAGCGAGAAAGGGAAATCAATCAATTTTTTAAAAATGAAGCAAATAAAACAATTGTGCCATGAAACTTGCTGGATAACCTTGGGATAGCTACTCTCTCTCAGATTCACCCCACATCACTGGTTTGCTGGGAGGGTAAAATGGGAACTGGGTGAGACAAAAATGCAGCTTGGATCCATTACAGTATAATGTTGGCAAAATCTGAATCCAGGTTACGTCGGACGTGACCACGTGTGACCAAGACTGGGTTACGCGGAGAAGACGAAAGGTTGTGGAGACAAGATCAAAGTCATCTACACCTACATCCTACTTTTTTGTCTTTCGCATAAATGAAGGCATGCCAACCCCACCTATGAGAACCAAGAACACGATGACCTCGGCAGTACTGTTGCGGAAAGAGTCGAATGGGACCCCTGCCTGTGGTTTAGGGTGGACCAGAGCCACCAAATGAGAAGGGAGCGCTCACTGGAGAAGACCCTTATGCTGGGAAAATTCAAAGGTCAAAGAAGAAGGGGTCGGCAAAGGATGAGGTGGCTGGACAGTGTTATCAATGTAACAAATATGAAATTGAGTAAACTCCAGAGGACGACGGAGGACCTGGCGTGATGTGGTCCATGGGGTCGCGAAGAGTCGGACTCGACTGTGCGACTGAACGACGACGACAACAGGGCAAGGCAGTACAGTATATCTCTGTGCAAAGCAACACACAGTATGCCCCTCTGTACGTTTGATATCCAAGATCCCACTCTACACACATCTTGTGCTTATAATTAAATTATTAAGGGGAAAGAGGATGATCACAAGAGACCTACTGATTCCGTTTCTCTCTCTCTCATAGTTAATGTAGGCTGGCGGTGGAAAGGGCCGTCAAGTCGCAGCCGACTTACGGTGACCCCGTAGGGTTTTCAAGGCAAGGGAAGTTCAGAGGTGGTTTGCCGCTGCTTTCCTCTGTGTAGGAACCCTGGACTTCCTTGGTGGTCCCCCATCCAAGTAGCCTCTTAGGGACCAACCATATTTTCAGGTCGAAGCTCTCTTCGTCAAGTATGTTAGAATGGGGATCTCTTGAGTCCTTGTATCCCACTCAGAGATCTCCATTCCTATTTGTATCTGAGGAAGGGAGCTTTGACGCTCAAAAGCCCATACCCTGAAGATCTTGTTGATCTCGAAGGTGTCACTGGACTAAATCCAGCTGTTTTACTTCAGACCAAGACAGCTACCATCTGAAACTATCTTCATGGAAGGATATGTTAGGGTTGCCAACTCTACTTTGGAAAATTCCTCAAGACTTGGAGGTGGAGCTCGGGGACAGTGGAGGAGGAGGAGATTGGATTCATACCCCACCCTTCACTCGGAGTCTCAGAGTGGTTTACAAACTCCTTTCCCTCCCCCTCCCCACAACAGACACCCTTGTAAGGTAGGTGGGACTAAGAGAGCTCTTTCGAGAACTGCTCATGAAGAAAAAGACGAGATTGGATTTACCCTGCCCTTCACTCGGAGTCTCAGAGCAGTTTACAAACTCCTTTCCCTTCCCCTCCCCACAACAGACACCCTGTGAGGTAGGTGGGGGCTGAGAGAGCTCTTCCCAGAACTGCTCATGAAGAAGAAGAAGAGTTTGGATTTATACCCCGCTCTTTAACCGGAGTCTCAGAGCAGTTTACAAACTCCTTTTTCTTCCCCTCCCCACAACAGACACCCTGTGAGGTAGGTGGGGCTGGGAGAGCTCTTTCGAGGACTGCCCTTGAGAGAGAAGATCTGAGAAAACTTGTGACTGACCCAAGGTCACGCCAGCAGCTGCATGTGGAGAAGTGGGGAATCAAACCTGGTTCTCCCAGATTAGAGTCATTCGCTCTTAACCACAAACTGACTCTCAGTATCTCAGGAGAGTATCATGTTATAGAGTCCACCCTCCAAAGAGGCCATTTTCTGCAGGGGAACTGATCTCTTTAGTCTAGAGCCTAGTTCATTTTGGAATTTTAAATTTGTGATCAGCTTTCTACTAGGCAGGGAATTGCAGGGATTTGTTTCGGCTTGAAAGTGTAGTTTGATGCCAGAAAAATGAAGTACCCTAGACCAGCTGATAGGTTCCTTGCTGTTTATCTCTACAGAGAGAGATCATGTTCTGTCTATATAATAACCACCTCGTTTCTTGCTTTGCAAGCAGAGGATCCACTGATCACCTGAAGAAACTCTTAAGAAGTATTCCTAAGTAAAGCACCTCTTCTCGTGCTATCCCTTTAAAGAATGTGCTTGGAGCATCAGGTTTTTCTAGTTTGGGAAAATCACAGCGGTTTCTCAATTTACAATTAATTATTACTATCCCAAGACAAGTCCTGAAAAACAATACTGGGTTTCAAGGAAGCCTTTTAAAGGCAACTCTGGGCATTTTAATGCTTGGGGTGACATTTAAAAACACACACGAAACCCTCATGTTGTCGTTTTTGTGGCTGTCTTTTCTTTTTGACGAATATTCTTTGGAGAAGAGCTGTTGTGAATGGTTAAAATAAGAGTTAGAAACTGGATTAAAAGCACCAGTGAGAAATCTAGTGTGGAAACCCCTGAAAATACTTTCTGTGATGATTAACAGTGATCTTTCCTTCCTCTTTCGGCTGGTCACTTCACAGGAAGGTGAAGGGGGAGAGACAATACCTGTGAATATATTCTTCTGTAAAAGCCTGTTAAGAGGCTGAATGTAATTGGAATATTTATATGTATGTGCATGCATATTTTAGATAGCGTATTATGAGATTCGAGATTAGACGCAACCCCACCCCACCCACTTTTCCGAAAAGATATACAGCAGAGATTACTAAAACCAGACACAGATCGGAATATCTATTGTCAGTGGAGACGCCAACGAGAAGTAGTTCAATGTGGTCCCGTGAACCACAGTGTTATTTATTTAGGCATTTATTTTATTTATTTAGGCATTTTTACCCCGCCCTCCCTGCAAGCGGGCTCAGGGCGGCTTACAAGGGGCAAGAGCCCATGCATAAAACCCAGTAAGACAATAAAATCATAAATAATAACAGTAATAACAACAATAAAGTGCTTTCTGTGAACAAGATGGTCTTGAGTGGTTATGATGGCATCCTCAAATCAACCTCCTTGGGGTACCACTGTCCAGTAGATTGTTCATGCCAGTCCCATGTTGTCAATGCCGCACCAATTTATGGCTGAGCTTCCAAGGGCGATCCCTAATCCCAGTGGTACTACCACCATTGGTGGTGGTGGCAGCGGCGGCCCCTATGCGAAAGCCTGGCGGAAGAGCTCTGTCTTGCAGGCCCTGCGGAACTGCATAAGGTCCCGCAGGGCCCTGATCTCCTCCTGTTAGAAGCTAAAATGACTAAATGGAGGGTATTGTACTTTGTCCACATTAAGAGAAGGGCAAGACTCATTGCAAAAGACAATAATGCTAGGAAAAGTTGAAGGCAGCGATAAAAGAGGAAGAACCAACAGAAGATGGGTTGACTCTACGGAGGAAGCCACGGCCCCCAGTTTGTAAGACCCAAGCAACGATAGGATGTTATGGAAGTCATTCATTCGTCGGGTTACTGTGAGTCGGAAGCAAACTGATGGCACACAACACGGGCATCTGTCATAGTTTACGAGATATGTTGAAGAAGAAATAAAAGCACACTCAAAAGACAAGAGATCAGGAAACTGGACCCAAACCATAGAGATGGAAGGGTGTGCATGCAAGCCCATCCAATCTGTGGCAAGTGCCGAAGAAGTAAGTCAGAGACGACGTCAGCTGGTAAGGGTTCTGCCCCCAGAAGATTAAGACCACAGCAGCACTGCATATCCTGTGGCATCGTCAGGGATCTCAACCTTGAGGGCAACTGGGTTTCTGGAAGTCTTGGTGTTCCAACCACTAGACATTATAATGCCCTGAATAAGCTGAATGGGTGTTC